TAATGTATGTATTTTTTAGTTCAATATTTTTTTTTAGAATAGCGGATTTTGTTTTATATATTTATAAATTATTTAACTGTCGTTCAGTTTTTTGACCGACTTCCAAAAAGGAGAAAGTTCGTAATTCGAGGGAATCTTTTTTTAATACATATGTTCACCGATTACTCGAAGACGCCTGAACCAATTTGGAAATATATTTTTTTTTCAAACGGTATACTTTCCAGATGATCCCATCTAAATTTTATCGTAATCGATCGAGCGGTTTTTAAAAAAATCAACAATAAATATATATTTTTTTAATAAATTGCTCAATCGAATATGTCATTAAAAAACTTTCTTCTTACAAATTACCTGCTTATTACGTCTACACTAAAAATGGAAAAATAAAAACTAAAAAAAAACGACTTCCAGGCACTAAAATGTTTAAAATAACTAAACCGGGGCTTTCATTTAGAATAGATACTTAATCGGATATTTTCGAAGTCGGTGCCAGCGGACAATATTTTCAACCGACTTCAAAAAGGAGGAGGTTCTCAATTCGACTGTATGTTTTTTTTTTTTTTTTTTTTTTTTTTATGTTTGTTACCTCAGAACTCCGTCATTTATTAACCGATTTGGACAATTTTTGTTTTGTTTGAAAGGGTATACTTCCAGATTGGTCCCATTTAAATTTCAAAAAAAATACCACCCCTAAGGGTGGAAAAACAACTAATAATGAATTTAACCTACTTCTAATTGTCATATTGACTTGAAACTTTGCAAGTATTTCTATTTTCGTTGATAGTACAGTGGTTCGGTGTTGTAGACCTGATCTGATGGCAAGGCCAGAAGGTGGATAGGTGGAACTCTTCAACGGCTAATAGTAGATACTTTGAGTTTGGGCTTATTTTGTTTGATTTGACAAGCCTAACACGTTAGAATCCTTACTTTGCTACTACTGTCTACACTAAAAAGGGAAAAATAAAAACTTTTTAACAAAAAAATAAAAACCGACTTCAAACAAAAGCACTAAAAAGTGAAAAATAACTGATTGGTAGTTTTCATTTACTATACATACCTAATCAAATATTTTCGAAGTCGGTGTGCTTTGGCTAAGTAATTAAAGCCTACCTATTAAATACATACCTAATCAAATATTTTCGAAATCGGTGCCAGCCCATACGAAGCAAAGCACACCGACTTCGAAAATATTTGATTAGGTATGTATAGTAAATGAAAACTACCAATCAGTTATTTTTCACTTTTTAGTGCTTTTGTTTGAAGTCGGTTTTTATTTTTTTGTTAAAAAGTTTTTATAAGATATGAATATCTAATAGGTAAATAGGTATTTTACATATCGAAATATATTATATTATTTGCTTTGCATCGGCTGGCACCGACTTCGAAAATATCTGATTAGGTATCTATTTTAAATGAAAACCCCCGTTTAGTTATTTTTTACATTTTAGTGCCTGGAAGTCGTTTTACTTAAGTTTTAATATACATACATAATAATCCTTTGAAATTTTAAATAATTCATTTAAGAATTTTTTATTTATGTATTAGTAATTAACCAAATTATCCAGCTATGCTCAATTGTTTAGTTACTGGAACATAGAAAACTGCTATATACTAAAAAAAATATTTAGTATCGAAACTTAGAACTATTCTGTTCCTGTTGTGTAAAGATTAATTTAGAAAATTGTTTTACTTATTACAACTTTAATAGTACTTCTACTAAACTAAAGTACCTACACACACTCTAGAAAATATATTTTTACTACCAGCCTTTACAAAACGAACATGTAATATTTTACTTGTATTTATTCGTATATTCTTAAAGTAAGTATTTATTCTGAAACCTGTGGAGCGAGAGCGTAAAAGCCTGTTGAGACGCACTAGGACGGTCGCACAAACTGAATGATTGGATATATTCCACCATTTTCACCTAAGCTTTTGCTTGCCCCGGTATTTCCATCATATTTATTTACCGTTATTTTGTTAAGGGAAATATAAAAATCTATTGTAATTGACAAGCTTCGTGTTGTGGCGTGGCATGCGTTTGACTGGCACTGCCTATATTGTGGGGCATACATTAATCCTGCTAAAAGACGAATAATTTTGTTTTCTGACTGGACGGTCCTGATATTAACAATAGTTATGTACGCGGAAGACATTATAGTGCACAAGTGTTCACCCAGGCAATAGTCTTCTCACTCACTTTTAATGGCAAGTCAACACGACCGGAGAGAGAAGAGAGAAAGCATGATCTCCGAGGCATGCAAGTGTAATATCAACAACTCAGGATTGCCACTGAAAATTTCTTAAAGAAAACTCTTTTGGCCCGAGCCAGGATAGTACTTTTAAAGTTAACAAACAAAACGAACATAGAAACTCCTCCCTTTGGAAGTCGGTTAAAAATAATGTATTTTTGTAACACATGCACTGATAAACCATCACAATTGGATGGTTATTTACCATACCACTCTTAGTTATGTGCAAGTTCGTAAATATATTTAATAAGGGACCATCAATGTAACATCAGGTGGTGTATGAGTCACATGTGATAATAAGTTATGATTTATTAAGATAAAATCAATATCTAAGTAATTTATGTATAGATACATCTGTCCATGCTTACGTCAGTCATTTGACACCTAGATAAAGTAAGGACTGGCCAATATCACTGTAAAAAAATAGTTTATTTTATATAAAATAATAACTAACTCTTTAAATATAACTAAAATAAAGCAAGTTCACACACGTATGAAATCGTGGGCGGCTTTAGACTCCACGTACTCGTGGAGTACGATTTAATGAGTTAGGTATCTAAATTAACGCCAATATAATGTTGCTATTAATATGACATTCACATGTTATACGCCAATTAACTTAATTATAATAATTAATTTATATTTTTTGCACTTTAAACGTGCCGCCTTTGTTTTGAAATTAATTAAAATAAACTGAAGCAAGAAAATCATATTTAGGTAACTAATGAGTATCTCTGGCTTGGACTGTTTGATTTTTTTTAATTTAACACTGAAAAATGTTTTGATTAAAACTTTGTATCGCCGTTTATTCCTTAAGCGGTTCACTTATGAAACTCAGCGAAATATGTTTCAATTATAGTGTCAAAGGGCATAAATCCCAAGTCCTATGCCCTATTTCTTTATCGCTGTACAGGATATATTAAAAAATCATTAAATTGCTATCTACATCTATACTTGTAAAGAGGCAGAGTTTGTTTGTTTGAACGTGCTAATCTTAAAAAGTACTAATCCGATTTAAAAATTTCTTTCTGCGTTAGTTAGCCCGTTTATTGATCTTCCGTTTATATATATCATAAACTCGTAATATATAGTCTATCTATTCCATACTAACCGTTAGAACACACAGTACCTACGTAGGGACAAACTCTCAGGTCAGATCAGGACATGTAGTTTTGTATTGAGAAATTTTTGTATAAATGACATATCAACAAATTAAAATTTCTAAAAAACAACATAGGTATGTATGTTCAACTGTGATTCTAATTTCTTATTAGTAATTTGGTGTCTTTTTTATAAGGTTTGTATCAAATAATAAAAATAATGATTATATAGAGCGTTATTGATTAACACGTAGTTTTACATTTTGATATCCGACTTCAGCTGGATATCTATATAAATAAAAATGAATGTTGGTAAGCGCATAACTCAAGAATAGCTGGACCAATTCGGCTAATTTTTTTTTCGTATGTTCCTTAAGGTCCACGGAAGGTTTTAGTAAAGAGAAAAAATGAAAAATTAACGAAAACAAATTAAAATGTATATGGTTAACGCTGGCTGATAACTATTTATATCTATTTAAAACGTACATAGCGACAAACCCGAGAAAAGCGAGGGTGAGCCGCTAGTTTATATTAAAATATAGACATTTTATTTGCAAAGTTTTAGTCCGATATTTAATCTAAAATATTTACAACTGCTAAAATTCATTCGCAATATGTTTACAATGTAATTCACACTGTATCAAAATTTAAAAAAAGACATGAAACAGCTAAAGTCAATTAACACGTAGCAGTCATAAAATTCACCGCAAATATATCAGTGTAATCGGAAATGTATAATAAAGAATTACCTATTTATTACAGCCGAGCTACGATAACGTGCAACGTGTAATTAGGGGTATCGGAGGGTCATTTCCGATAATTCATAATGTATGCTAATTATTAAGTGCTGTTGCCTCAAGACAAACCTTATTCCGATACTCCTTATCGGTGAGTCTTAAAATATTGAATCCGATACCTGGATTTCATGAGTCGTTTATTATTTTGTAGTAAAATGTAGAGTCTTTATTTTAATTATATTTAAAATCTTTATGCTTGTAGTATATAATGAGTAGGTAGATATTTGATGCATTTTTGGCATCATATTTTTGGATTCACGACGTTTTAAAAATGAGGTAAGAATTGTCTTTTTTTGACTTTATTTTTAGTGTTGTTTGGTATAGCAATTGATATTTATGACTTAAACGTTTAATTGATCGGGGACACTACCTAATGTAGTAGATGAAAAGGAACACAAAATAATACACCACTTTACTTCAAGACGAAAAGTGTGAAGTTTAAAAATGTTGAAACTACTCTCATTAGTCGTACACTCTTTAAATCAAGCAATCTTATTGTTTTCTTAGTTCTAACAGCCATTGGTGCTAAAGCATTCGCTATCTTAGAGTCGGCAACGAGTTGCAATTAGCGGTTCCGCCGCACTTTGATACGAAAATTCCCGTGCGCAAACCGTTCACTCACAACACTTTTGTGTGTGTTTTTCACGGCTTCAACGAGCGCGATACTGAACACTGAAAAGCCTCAGGCTCCTAATTAGACTGAAGTCGGACGTGCCAATTAATTCAAGTTTCACTCGGAAACTTTGCTGCATCAATTAATTTCATAGTTAATTAACAAGCCCGGACAAAACCGCGTCTACGAAAGAAAGGCTAACGATGCCCGCCTGCGGCCGCCTACAATGCACCAATTACATCAGCTTTGTTGCATACAACTCCATTCCTATCACAGGTTCATTCAATCTGACGCGCCCTCTAACCATCGCGCTGTTTCGAGCTCTACTCCAATTCAATCTACATATTATTCCTTTTATTCTTAAATGAATATTCATATTGCTAGGGGAAAAATGATTCACTTTTGCGTTGTTATTTTCAAGATATAAGCATTTTAATTTAGTAAGGCACTCTGCAATTTTAGTAGATGATTTTACATCCAAAGTATTTTTTTTCTATTGCGAACATCATATAAATTCATGCCATTACTTTATGAAAAATAATTAATTTAAACCACCTCTTAAAGATATACAACCAGCCAATGTCTTTCTTGAAAACAATTAATTTTTAAGTGATAGGTGCTATAAAAAAATCATATTCCTATATGTATACGAAAGAAATATAGGTACTTTGTTCTGGTTAAAGGCATTGTCTTACAAACAATAATGGGCCACGAACGCGCCTGATGTACCAAAGAGAATTTAACAACATCACGCCAAGACGCCGGCATTCGGGCCATAACTTCGTGCAAATAAAATTTTAACCTCTGCTTAATATCTGGCGGAACGTTTCGACGAAGTGAACCAGGCAAATTGACAGACAGTAAAATATTTTATTCGCGCAATAATTTCATTTAGCAAGAAAAACAAGAGGACGCGAACGCGGCGCCCCGCAAACATCTTTCACGTGAATTAGCCTATTATGAACAGACTTTGGGAAATAAATTTCACTTACAACTCGTAAAATCTCTCTATTCCAATATGATAAAATATTTTACCTGGAGTGATTCCCTTATGTTACGAATATTTTAATTCAAATTCCTTGTTTAGTTTACTGTTATCTAACAATAATAATATCTATAAAAAGTTGCATGTTTTAGTTAGCAACTCTCCTTTAAAATGTTTTAATAAAACTATTTTTTTGAATTTTTTCGCGAATTTATTTTCAGATTTTTGGTTCTTTACAGAAATCATAGTCACGGGAGAGTCTCTCCATTCTCACTTTATTTAAAATATCAAATATTCGCGTAAATCTAAGAAAGTATCACCTTTAAATGATTAATAATTTCGTAAGGCATTTGACCAAAAAGCTCATCATAACAAGAAATGGTACTAATATAAATTCTGTCTCTCTTGCAGGTCAATTATATTATGACACAAGTGTCTACTATTAGAAACAGTATTTCAACAAACACTGCAGTAGGTATCTATAAATCTAACCTTGCAGTACCGGCAAGACCCCATTGCTTTGTTTTCGCGATGTCATTAGTGGGAGCCCTCAATATTTCGCGGGCATTGATTATTTTAATGGTCGCCAACGGCATCGCACGCCACTTGATCCGCTTACCACGATAACTCGTCTTATCCTTCTGCATTGTCATTGCTATCAACTTTCACTGTTCCTTAATCATTTTTCAGTCTAGTTAAAAAACACTATTTTATTCTTTATTATTTGTTAAAAATCTCAGTACATTAATTGAAAATAATTCACCTAAATTTAAAGGTATTTGGTATTGTTATTCTCATATGTCTAGAATTTTGTAGCATAAAATGAAGCATTAAAATTAAATTAAAAAAAAAACATATAAAAAGGAGAAATCAGCAAATAATTTAGACAAAATTTATATTACACAATACTTAGTATACCGAACTCAAAGCGTAGCGGGCACAATCATTAAGAAATCATTAACGCTAACGACAGCTCTTGACGTCACTACCTCCCCTCCCGATCCACTATTCCACACACGTCACCTGACATCGGCAAACGGTTTTAATGGTCTTGCATTCTAGGCGAGCCATCCTCAGGCAAAAAGCACCAAAAACAACATAGCAATCATAGAGCTAAATCCTTTACAAAGTACAAACTCATTAAATTTTAACTAAAAATCGAATTGGACATACTTTTTATACTAAGCATATATACATATGTATATTTTATCCGATAACTTATAAAATTAAAACATATATTTTAAATCGTCATATTTCTTTGTAAAGTAAAACCTCATATTCAAATGATGTGAACGCTATAACTTACACATCATTACACGCGCATGCAAATCAAAATGCATCCCGTAAACGTTTATATGACACCGATTTATCAGAGATAGTTAGAACCTGTACGGGGTGAAAAGAGTACTAACAAAGTCGCACGGCTGGTGTCGCGGCAAGCAAATGAGGCGCGACGCTCACTGCTAACTAAACCAATCGGCCGCACCGCTATTGCAGACGAGCAGGGCAAACTCCACTGTAACTTCATTTTAAAAATTTACAGAACAAATTCGAGTAAGATTCTTTTAAATAAAGGATTTTCTGTATTCATTATTTAATCGCTAACTTGTTCTTGGGATGTATACCTACCTACGTAACGTATGTAAGTAATGAGATGAATGGAAATTATTATATATTCTTTATATATAAAATAATCTAGATTATTTTCTGAAAAGTAGAATTATTTTAGCATACATATTTACTTTAATAAATACGTTATCTATATTATGTTAAAATAAATTTTATGTATTTAAAGTCAATCAAGTTTATTTAAGAATTGTGAGTTTGGCAACATAATGACAGTAGCGTGTAATGCGTTTGTAACGCAGCTCTACGCCGCCCAACCGCTAAGCGCTAACGAGGCGTCCGCACGACACATCCCATCCCGTCTGTAACCGATCTGTTATTCATTCATAAAGAGTCATTAGTCCGCGGCACCACCGCCCGTTTGAAACGATCATTTAGCATCATTTGCGGGAACTTTTATCCCTCATCTGGTTTTAATGCGCTCACTGAATCCTTTCGCGCTCGCTTGTTACAGACCAAAGTGTTCACTGATTTCAGGTGTACAATCGCTTTGTAAACTTCGGTAAGAGATATCTTCTATTTGATGTTACAAAGTTTCTGATAAATTATAATATTTCACCACTTAATTATTCTTCATTAATAACATAAAGTTCTACAAAATTATGTACTTTTTGATTTTGGCATCTATCTCAATTGGATTGAAAAAGTTTTTAACTGTTTTAATTATCTAGATGAACTAATTTTGTTAGACAGCTTAGTTTACATAATTCAAGTCATATTTCACCAACATCCCCATTACTGTCACGCACACGTTACACATACAGTGGCTAGAGTGGCGGCTCATGATTCAAATCTACAATTTGATTTGAAACAGTCATACGAATAGTACCTACCTACAATGTCAGAGGATACAAATTTATAATGATGTCATTTGTGATTTGCTTACAGATTGATTAGAATTTAATTTAAAAAATCGATATTTATATGAAAACAATTCAATTTTTAATGTGGAAATAATCACCAAACACATTTTCGTACACATATTATGAAAAATTATTACTTTAATAACCATTAAAAGAACATATTTAATTTCTGATTGAATTTTTGATAAAATAAAAACTAGTAAAAGAACGTTTTGCTATATTTAAATATAACGCATAGATATTTGTAAAAACTTACCAAATTTAAGTAAATCATTAATAATAGAAGTATATATAATGTATATGGAACTACTAATTAATTTAATGATGTATCAAGAATGATGATTTATCATTTTATATTATTACCATGATTTATTGATATTTTTAGCTAGTTACTATATTTTTTTTCAGTGATTCGTAATAAAATAATTAACACATTTAATTACTACGAAATTCAGTAATAATTTAAGTTTTAGTACAGTTAATAAGCTTGTTTTGCAAATTTTATATCGTTTAATGCTTTAACAGTATTATATTCATAACATATTGTTATCGAATTTACGATATTTAAGCGTCACTATGCAAAATCAAATGATAAACCTACATATATTCGACGACACGTTTGGCTCAGTTCATAGTGACCCTACTTGCTGTGCCAGCGGTCGCGGGTTCGAGTCCCGCTGGGGGCATTCATTTGTGTGATGACCACGAATAGTTGTACTACAGTCATGGGTGTTATATATGCCTATAGTGTATCATCTATCTGGTATCCATAACATAAGCCTCGTAGCTTACCATGGAATTAGATGGTGCTGTTTGTTAATGTCCTAACATATTTTTTTATTATTTATATATGTTTATAGGTAAACAATTTTTAATAAATCATAAAAATAATATCTAATATGATATAATTAAAATATTTATTTTAAATTAATTATTATACAAATCAATCAATAACTCGAACGTATAATGATAACAGGTTTAATATAAAGTAAAAATTTCACGAGAATCGTTATTACCGTGATATTTCTATATTTCAGTATACAATATATATCACGTATGTATGTACGTAAGTCGTATACCTATCACAGTGACTTCTAATCGGCAGTAACGAGCGGCATCGTTATCGGCGCGACCTCATTATGCGATATCATCACACCTAACGCCTATTATTTTCTCGGTCGTTAGTTTTTCTAAGCACATTGCTTAGAATGCATTGTTTAAAAAGGATGAAAGGATTTGCATCAATAAGGGTGCGCTTAGACGACAACGGTGAATTTTCTTTTGAAATTCATAATGAGTGCAATTTAAGGATGTTTGTAGTTATTAAAAAATATTTTGAAATTATTACTATTTTCTTACAGTACATATAAAACTGGTCTTAAAGATGTAATGGGATGATTAATTTCAAAAATATACTTATTTATTGGGTCTCTAAAAAGTTATTAGTATATCAAAACACCGAATAATTGACTTACTAAGTAGTAGTTCAAAGGAAAAATAAAAAAAGGTATATAAATTTAAATAAGGTTGTAAATAGCTAATGATATACATATAATAATATGTCCTACATATTACTTACTAGATTCTTATTACGTATTTAATACTAGCGACTCACCCTCGCTTCGCTCGGGTTCGTGAAAAACAAAAACAAATGTATCCCATGGAACTGTTCATTTTTCCGGGATAAAAAGTAACCTATATGCTATTCCAGGCTATAATCTATCTCTGTGCCAAATTTCATCCAAATCCGTTTCGCCGTTCTGGTGTGATTGAGTAATAAACATCTATCCATAAAAACTTTCTCATTTATAATATCAACATGGGATTATAATTCGATGAAAAATATTATTAACTAATTATAAATTTCGTGAAATGTCTTTAATATAAATCAATAAGTAGTAAAAAAAAATTTAGTTATAGAAATTCAAAAATGATTTTTTTTAAGTAGTAATAATAAATTAGTCAAGTGTGAGTCTGATTCCCGCAATAAGGGCTGTATGCCACCACACGATACCTGTATTTGTGTTATGTATGTGTAAAAAGATAGGATTCGAGTCTAACCCCTAGCATACACCCAACTCAGGCTTAGCTAGCTTTAAAAAGCCAATTTATGAAAAGTTGAACTGCTGTCTCTCCTTTGTTGCGTTGTAAAATAAAATATTTACGCATTCAAAGTTAATTTTCACAGTATGTATTTCTTAAAGACAGTGTTAAAAGTTACTTAGTAAACAAGAATTTAAAAAATAGAAACCGGTAACCAAAAATATCACATATTTCAACAGTTATATAAAATGGCATAATATGCTATTCTATTTTAGGACTTCCAATGCGATTAAATTATATGATTTGTAATTTAATCAGGGTCAGTTTGATTCATATTCATAAGACGAAACTTTTTTAATATTTCTTTTTTTAATAATTATAACCCCTTTATAGGTATGACCGACGGACAAATGGACAGATTAGTGATAAAATTCTCACTGCATCCTAAGGATCTAATGTCTAACTATTATTATTTGCTATTTTTTTCTATTTTGCTAAGATTTACGGTTCGCTATATTTTATTTTAAAGCACCATTTGACTATTATATATAAATAACGAAAGAATTTTAATTGCATATGAATTAATAGTAAATGAAAACTTACTTACCTAATAGATGAGAGAAGATAGAGATGATTAATGATTATTATGAGAACACACAACATAACGATTATTATACTGTATTTACGATATAACTACAGTATATTTTGTTATAAAGGACACAATCTTTACAAGCACAATGACAAGAATTATTACCCAATAAAAATCAGCATCAGTTCAGTTTTGAACAACATAAATTTCTTGGTTACCTATAGCTTAACTATTACTTTAAAGTTAGTATAGGTTAATGTTTTAAGCATAATTACTTGTAATAAGTCTGTTTATTTATTGTTTTTAACCTTTTACCGTAGTATAAGAAGTTTTAAAATATTAGAAATCTTATGGAATAAATATTTATATAATAATTAGCGACACACCCTCACTAAATTTTAACGTTTAGATTTCTCAGAGATGGGATATTTAGTAGCAGTAATTTTTAGTAGAATTTAGTAGCAGTAAAAAGTATCCTATATGTAATAAAATAACCCGGATAACCAGCTGTCATCATACCAAATTTCATCAA